GCTGCCCCATCCCTGGCAGTGCTCAAGGCCAGGTTGGACACAGGGGCTTGGAGCAAGCTGCTCTATGGAAGGGGTCCCTGCCTGGGGCAGGGGTTTGGGACCGGATGAGCTGCAAGGTCCCTTCAACCCAAACCAGTCTGGGGTTCTATGAGCTGTCTAAAGGCTGACAACATGGTGTCCTGCCCTGCTGTGGGCAGAACTGGGGCATAATGACCCCAGGCTGTTTGGTCTTTGCCCACCCTTTGTGAGCAGTGCAATGGCAGGGTTTAAGGACTTGCTGCAGGGACTTGCAAGGGTCCTCCCTCGTTGTGCCCGGCTCAGGATGAAGACTGAGCATACAGGTGCAGGTCACACAAGTTCCATCCTGCTGCTGCCTTGGGTCAGTGCAGAAGCTGCACCGAGACAACACGTCCGTGGTGAAACTGGGCTGAGAGAAACTGCAGACAGAGCAGTGATGCTCCAAGCTGTCACCCAGCACCAAGGGGACAGAAGCACCTCTGCCAGCCTCTAGCTGATAGCTGCAGTCAGGAGGGTACAATTAAAGTGGTGCTACCCCTCCTCCATGGAGACCGAGTGCCAAATGAAAGCAGAGCGGTGTTCTGTCACAAACACTGGCGTTTTACACCCATTTTTGCCTCTCTGGAGCCCAATAACATGGGATTTGCTATCACTTGCTTTGCTGGAAGAAACTGCAGTGGTGCAGGCTTGTGGGCATCCAGAGATGAGAACCTCCATCTCTTCGCTTTTGCCTCAAGAGTTACTTATCCTCATGGCTGTAACCATGTGGTTTTCTTCCCATTTGACATTACCTGTCTGCTCCTCCCAGCCACAGCATCCTCCTCTACCTCCTGTGCTTGGCCAGAGAGCCCTTTATGGCCCCTTCATTGCATGAAGGTAGGTACTGCCCATGACCAAGGGGTTACTCTTGGTAAAGACCCAGAGCACTGCAAATTCTCCTCTCCCCTCACCTCTTCCACTCTGTCTTACTGGGAAGGTTTCTGCACATTTCCAAGATTACAACACCTGTTCTGAAAAGAATAAAACCTCTTCCATTTCCCTCATGCACCAGCACCGGGCCCCTTGGGTCCCAGCGTCAGCCTCTCAACCTCCGTCTGCTGCTTGCCAGAGTCTCTGCTCCCTACTCTACTCCCTGCCCCCAGTAGCTAAATACTCTGGTATTTAGCTATTGCAGACAATTCCTTTGAAGGCCCAAGCCTGTGCATCTCTCTAAGCTCTTCTACATAAATAATGCTGGGGAAAGGCAAGTTAAGGCACAATTTGTGCTGAATTTGGGGACACCTGCTGAAAGCCCCACAGTCACTTCTAGTGTGGGGCCAGCCGCTGCAGCGTTGCTGCAGAAACACAGGCTTTTTGTGATGATGCTTCTGACAGCTTCCTTTTGAGGGCTACTGATCACCCAGCTCTTCACCCCCTTTGCTGATGCTCCCCAGGCCTTGCGCTGTGCCAGCCCCTCAGCTCGGAGCAGCGTGGCGGAGACACGTTGCTGTTAGATAACTCTGTGATGATTAACTAAACTTGCCGTCCCATCAGCAAACGAAATCAGGTTTGTTTGACAGGGGCTGTTTCCTGCAAATCCACCTTGATTGCTTTAATTTCATTTGATTCCAATCCTTTAATTCTTTATTGACCAAATCTCCTGTTAAGTTCTTGGGCGCTCTGCTGGGCATTGACGTCAGGCAGAGCAATCTGCAGCTAATCACATCATCGCTCCTGCTCGCTCAAGTAATGGCCTGAGGAAGCGTCTGCAGTGACCGCGGCATGCCAGGACTCACAGAAGTTGACAGAAGAGGCCGAAGTCCTCCTTGGCCACCTCAGGGATGCTTTTCCCTTGTGCAGACTACCCAGACCTGCAGCTCTATTTGCTCTCTGTTCCTAGCAGTACATCCATTCTGTTCAACATCCTTCTCAGCTACCAATCAACCAAATTAACGTTACAGCTGGAGTTCTGACTGCCTTTCCCTCCGGTGGCCATGGACCTCTCTTCTCCATGCAGAGAGGCAGATGCTTGCATCTGCTTTTATGTGGTTTCTCTACCTAACAGCTTCTAACTCCCCTCAGATCCTGACCAGCTCCCCCATTTCACCCTATCCACGGTGCTTTGGCTGTGACTCCTGGTGCTCCATTCCCTCCCCTGGCTACATCTGTCCTTTCCTGCAAGTGTGTAGTGGAGCTTGGCCCCCAGCTGCCCTTGTTCAGGACACCTCCTAAGCGACTCCGCAGGTTCCTTGTCTGAATTCCCTCTGCCTTTAAGTTCCCCAACTCTGGGAAATGGAACTTCAATGAAAAATCAGCACTGCGCATTGGGGTCACACCACCGGGCCCGTGGAGCCACCAGCTTTCCTCCCTGCAGCTTCAATCATCTGCGCTCCTCACAGTTCGGGCTGGATGCAGAACCCTCCGAGTGAAGGAGTGGTCCCTGCACTCTCCCACAACACTGTCTCCTTTGTCACATCTTCCAGCCTGAGCTCTCCCCATCTCAACCCCTGCGTCCCTTCCCTCCTCATCGCAGACGCCTCAGGGGCAGTGGGGATTGTCTGCTGCAGCAGAGTCCTTCATGGAACTACAGAGGCATGGAATGGTTTGGGTTGGAAATGACCTTGCAGCTCATCCAGTTCCAACCCCTGCCATGGGCAGGGACACCTTCCATAGAGCAGCTTGCTCCAAGTCCCCAGCATGAGAAGAATGTGGAGCTGTTGGAGCAAGTCCAGAGGAGGGCATGAAGATGCTGCAAGGGCTGGAGCAGCTCTGCTCTGGAGCCAGGCTGAGAGAGCTGGGCTGGGGCAGCCTGGAGAAGAGAAGGCTCCTGAAGGGGAGACCTGAGAGCAGCTCCAGTGCCTGAAGGGGCTGCAGGAAAGCTGGAGAGGGGCTTGGGACAAGGGATGTAGGGACAGGCCAAGGGGAATGGCTTTAACCTGCCAGAGGGGAGACTGAGCTGAGCTCTTAGGCAGAAGCTCTTCCCTGGGAGGGTGCTGAGGCGCTGGCACAGGGTGCCCAGAGAAGCTGTGGCTGCCCCATCCCTGGCAGTGTTCAAGGCCAGGTTGGATGTTATAGATTCATCCGTACAGATGAAACCAAGCTGACTCTTCCGCAGCAGTGCCTGGGTTTGGTTAAAAGGTTGGGATCTACTTGTTCACTTTCCTAACTCAAGTCCTATTTTTACCTAACAAATACTCACAAACCAGGGCTCTGCAGCCCAGTTCCAGTTGAGAAAAAACTCCAAAAGCTTAAAAAACTACTTTTAAAAATATTTCCCAGCAATTGCCTTTTCCCAACTGACTCACCCTGGGCACCAGACAGGGCAGATACTGACGTCCCACCAACCTCCCTTCCTTTGGCACCCAGAGCTGTCTCCGTGCCCTGGCTGATGCCCGTCCTGCCATAGAGGCACTCACCTTGCTCTCTGCTTGCTGCCACCACTGGGGATGCCCACACCGAGAAGAGAGGAAGCATCTCCTGTGTGCAGGGGCATAAATCACCCCAGGCAATGCCGGCGGGAGCCTCCTGGATGGAGATCCCCAGGAGCACCCGGAGCCCTCCCCAGGCACCCTCTGTAATGGCCTCAGCGGGGGGGGTTGGAGGACAGCAGCCTTAGTCCCAGCTCAGCTCTCTCTCGTCCCATTTCCTTTCCAAGTGGTGGGTGTCAGGAGCTGACCGAGTCCGGCAGGCATCGGCTGTCTCCAGCGCAGTGAAAACCTTCCCTGTGTTTCTGCCTGGAGCAGTGCACGGGCAGGCTCATTCCTGGCTGTGCCGAACCAGGAGCTGCAGTCTCTCCGTCCAAAGAGCACGAACTGTCCTTGCCCCCACGAGGCTCCCATTTCACCCAGCAGCAGGCTGAAATGTGCAATTTCTCCACAGTAAAAGCAGTTTCAAGGGAGCACAAACATTCTGTCAAAGCTGTTTCAAGATGTCAGGAAAAGTCCAGCAGAAAGTCAAATAATCACGAGAAAGGCAGGAAGAAAAGGTTTTGAAGCACGGAATGACCCAGCCAAACCTGTTTTGAAGCTGAAGGTGTTTCACTGAGCTTAGTTGTTAAACTAATGTAGAAATGAGGACTAAGCACAACAGTTTGGGTGGGATTCATCCCAACAAACACGGGTGGCTGTTGTAGACCTGGTGCCAGTCCATGCCTGGAGCTGGTCCTCCAGGTTGCCTTCATAACCATGGTCTCAGTGATTTTAGGGCAGTATTCATCCCAACCTAAAGCTGACACCTGAAATAGGGCAGAGGAATGGTGCTGCACCAGCACCTTTCAGTGCAATGATGGAAGGGGATGGTGGTGACTGTGTGGACCTCTACCCCGAGTGCGTCTGAGGAGGACAGGGGCTGTCCCGCTCCCTGCTGTGGGAGGAAACACGCCATCTCTGAGCGCTTCCCTTCTGATTCCTTGTGTTAATGGACACAGTCCCCCGAGCTGAACCCTCTGCTCTTCCACCACCCTCAGACCCAAGGGAGGTCGTGGCTCCTCTCCTCGAGCAGAGGACCATGAGCACCTCTGAGATGAGGCCATTCACTTCTGCTGAATTCTCATCTCTCTTTCATCACTGGCTTATCTTAAACATCCTAATGGGAGCTGTCACATAACCTGGCACAACACCTGGGCAATCATAGAATCCCAGACTGCTTTGTGCTGAAGGGAGCTTAAAGCTTCTTCAGTTCCAGCCCCTGCCACGGGCAGGGACACCTTCCACTAGAGCAGGTGGCACCAGGGAAGTCTCAGCAGGGTTGGGTGCTGCAGCTCCTGAATGGAGCCTGTTGGACGTAGGTGCTGGCTCTGAGGGCTCAGAGGTGTCTGGGGTGCAGCAGGTCCAGCAGCAGCAGGAGCTAACTGGGCTCAGCACACTCAGACCCGGGCCCGCTGTGCTCCAGGCCCCCAGGCAGCCTGGATTTTGCTGGTCAGGTACTTTTGCTCACCACCACAAGCAGACACAGGACTGCTGAGTGTCTCCAAACAGACCCAGTGTTTATTTGCACGTCTTCAGGCTGTGGCCACCAGGACACAGAGCTAGACCCCACTGAGCGTCTCCCCGCTCCAGGCTCCTCACCCCGCTGCTGTGAGTTGCTGGATGGGCAGAACGCTGTGAAGAGCTCGGTTTTGGGGATGCTCAGTTTCCATCATGACCCAGGAACGTGCAGAAGCTGCTCTGCACTCAGGGAGGATGAGCCTTTTGTGCAAGAGAGGCCCAGGGAGGAGAACCTCTGTGGTCACCGCGTCTGCAGCGGTGACAGTCTCCCATTGCTGGCCCTGATAGTCAAGCAGAGACTAAAGAAGACAACACAGGAGACATTTCCCCACTTGGAATGGAATCTGTGTATTGACACAGTTATACCTGAGGCCCTGAAATGTCATTTAAATAATCACAGGGGTGTTGATGGCATCAGGAACATCTCAAAAGTCAAAGGTGGCTCTCACTTCTCTGAATCACCTGGGAAGAGGGAAGGGAAATAGGAGCTCATGTTTGCTCATGCTCCCAGTCCCACATAACTCCCATCACAGAGTAGGGCCTCATGTGCTTATGGAGGTTCTCCCTCCTCCTCTCATTGCTTCTGTTCACCATGTGCACTTAATGGGAATTTTGGTGCTGTCTCTGCAGGGACGGAAACACCTGGGAAAGCACTGACCCTGCGTCAGGCCCGAACCTTCCTGGAAAAGAGCATTTTGAGCAGAGCCCCACGGATCTGCTTGGTCCTCATGCTGTAAATGATGGGGTTGAGCATGGTGGGGAGGGTGAGGTAGAGATCACCAAGCAGAACCTGTGCAGGCACGGACATGGTGCTGCCGAAATGCTGCACGTAGATGGAGGTTATGCCAGGGATGTAATAGAGCAGCAAGACACAGATGTGGCACCCGCAGGTGCTCAGCGCCTTCCAGCACGATCGCTTCTCCAGGACAGTGTTAAGGACCATCCCATAGGAAGCAGCAATGAAAGCCACATCCATCCCCACTATGAGAGAGGACCCAACCACACTGTAAAGCTCGCAGGGTCTGGGGTCTGCACACGCCAGCTTGGCCACGGCCATGTGCTCACAATAGGAATGGGGAATTACATGGGAATGGCAATAGGGGAGGTTGGTCACCATCCATGTCAAGGGGAGCATGAAAAGCTGGGATCTCAGCACAATAGCCAGGCCTATGCGGGCAATGGTTTGGTGGCTCAGGATGGCTCGGTACCTGAGGGGGTGACAGATTGCCACGTAGCGGTCCACAGCCATGGCCAGGAGCACTCCCGACTCCTCCGACGTGGTGGAGTGAACAAGGAACATCTGCACAAAGCAGGCCGTGCCACCGATCTCGGTGGAGTTGAGCCAGAGCACGCTCAGCATCTTGGGCACGACGGACGTCACCATCACCACGTCGACCACGGCCAGCATGGCCAGGAAGCAGTGGACGGGCTCCCGCAGGGACTTGTCCAGCCCAATGACCAGCAGCACCGCTCCGTTTCCTAGCAAGGCGATGGTATAGGCTGAGCAGAAAAGGGTGCCCAGGCCGGAGGAGAACGCTTCCAGGAGGGGGACACCCACAAGGGTGAAAGAGGAGGAGCTGCTGTTGGAGGGATCAGGAGCCATGCAGGCGGATGAGGCTTTGTGCTTAAACCAAGGGAGCCCACTTCTGAGCCCTGCGATGTGCACAGCCAAGGGGGGAACTGTGGGATCTCTGCATTGGTGCAAGAGCCAAGTCAGGATTCCAAAGCTGAGGGTGAGTCCCTTGCATGCTGCAGGAGCACCACAGCAGACCATGGGCGGCTGGGGGAATGGATCAGGAATGGTGAATAAATGGGATGTGATGGCTCAAGGGCTCAGTTCTTGGCTGGTTGCTCAGCTGGCACTTTAAAATGAGCTGCAAGAGGAGAGAATCGGGTCAGCATCCAGCTTCCCTCGGACAGTGCTTGTACCTGAGCAGCCGGGTTCCTGCAGTGGGCACAGCACGGGGAGTTCCTCCAGGTCTGTAAGGCAAAACGTGACCTCAGGAAGTGCTCTGGAATGATAAATGTGATCATGAAAAGGCCTTTTGCTGCCCTGGCTTCGTTCTGTCCTTCAGCCGTGAGAGAAACCTGCAAGACTGGGTGGGAGTAAGAGGAAAAGATGAATTCCTGGGGTTTGTTCTGCTGGGAGGAGCTTGAAGTCAACAGAGAAACTGCAGGGACCAGCCCGGGCAGACAAGGAGCAGAGCCCGAGCGCGCTGGGCAGCAGCATCTGCCCGGGTATTTGTGCCCAGACTGGGCTCCTGCTCCTGCTCCTGCTCCTGCCCCTGCTCCTGCTCCTGCTCCTGCTGCTGCTCCCCCGTGGTGCCCGGGAGCAGGCAAGTGGTGACCACCCCAGCGCCCTGCCCTTGCCTGCAGGATCCTGCACCAGCAGCTTCACAGCCAGCAGCAAGGGGGGGGCCTGGCTGACAGGTCCCATGCCGGGAACAGCATGGAGCAATTCCCGTGGGCAAAGCCCCCCAGGAGGTCAGGTAGGGTAAAACTGACACAAGACGTGGCCGGGGGGCAGCAGTGGAAGCAGCAAGGACAGAGGTTCGGGGTGGGAACCAAGGAGACTTTGGGAGGCAACTGAGGAAAGAGCATCAGGAGTTTTCAAACAGAGCATCGGGAGCTGCGGGCTTTGAACCCTCCACTGAGCTACGGCTCAGCCCCAGGACTGGGGTTGCTGCAGGAGCTGCTGGCTGGAAAGCCTGGTCAGGACAGGAGCACTCACCTGAGCTAAACGGGTGTGAATTGGGACCCTGGTGATGGTCTGCATCTCCCACAGGGATGCCTCGGGTACCGGGGGGCATCCCAAGTGGCTCTGGACATCCAGGGAAGAGTCAGTGGAGCAATGGGAACCTTCCAGTGCGTAAAGGGGCTGCAGGAAAGCTGGAGAGGGGCTTGGGACAAGGGCCTGTAGGGCCAGGCCAAGGGGAATGGCTTGAACCTGCCCGAGGGGAGACTGAGCTGAGCTCTTAGGCAGAAGCTCTTCCCTGTGAGGGTGCTGAGGCGCTGGCACAGGGTGCCCAGAGGAGCTGTGCCTCAGACATGAAGCCCTCATGCACAGGAGCATCCGTGGCCACCTACCTGCAGGCACTGACGTGTGTCCGAACCCAGAGCCCCGGGTGCCTGCAGCCAAGGCAAGAGGGAATTTGCTTCCAGCAGCTCTGTTCCACACCAGGGCCTGGCTCACGAGGGTTCAGTGTGGCAGCAGCAGTGAAGAGCCCTGATCATGGCACGTGCTGGCCTGGGAGGGCGAAAAGCAGCACAGGGGAGCTCTGCAGCTGAAGCACAGGTTCTGCTCCCGGTCGGAGGGGAAGGACGAGCCCAGGAACCTGTCTTACCTGTAGGGCTGTCACCTGCAGCAGCACATCTCTGTGGGCAGCAGCACACCTCTATGGGCAGCAGCACACCTCTATGGGCAGCAGCACACCTCTATGGGCAGCAGCACATCTCCATGGGCAGCAGCACACCTCCACGGGCAGCAGTACATCTCTGTGGGCAGCAGCACACCTCCACGGGCAGCAGTACATCTCTGTGGGCAGCAGTGTGGGTATTAATCCAGCCTCTGGGAATTCCCTGAGGGACAGCAGACACAAGAGGCAGAGATCAGGCTGTGTCCTCTGAGGAGATGGAGATTGTCAACACTGCTTCCTCCTGTGTCGTTACCTCTCCCCTTCAGCATCACCCCGCTGGGTCTCAGGGTGCCGGTGCTCTCCAGAGCCTGGCGGTGCCCATGAGACCAATGCCCAGAATGTAAACTGGAGATGTGCATCTAAAGTGGAGAAAAAGCCCTTTGGTTGTGCCAGAGAGAGCAAAATGCTTTGGAAACTCTGGGTTTCCACTCTTGTCTGCACTCAGAACCAGCACAGCAACAGGGATGTCTCTTGACGCCCCAAGCAGTGTTTGTGCAAGAAGTGAGGCAGGGAGGTGGGATCTCACTGCAGGTCCTGAGCCTCGGCTGCATCAGGCAGTTCATGGGTGAGGAAGGATGCCTGCTGATCATGGGATCCCAGCCTGGTTTGGGTTGAAGGGGCCTTAAAGCTCCTCCATTCCCAACCCCTGCCACGGGCAGGGACACCTTCCATAGAGCAGCTTGCTCCAAGCCCCTGTGTCCAGCCTGGCCTTGAACACTGCCAGGGATGGGGCAGCCACAGCTTCTCTGGGACCCTGTGCCAGCGCCTCAGCACCCTCCCAGGGAAGAGCTTCTGCCTCAGAGCTCAGCTCAGTCTCCCCTCAGGCAGGTTAAAGCCATTCCCCTTGGCCTGTCCCTACATCCCTTGTCCCAAGCCCCTCTCCAGCTTTCCTGCAGCCCCTTTAGGCACTGGAAGCTTTCAGGTCCCTTCCAACCTAAACCATTCTATGATTCTATGAAAGGAAAGCATTGCTGTGCTTCCCTGAAGGGGATGGGAAGTGCTGCAGGAGGCCTGGCTGCATACAGGGAATGGTTGTGTGATACTGGGAGCAGCGCATCCTACCTGGTCAGCATCAGGCCGTTACAGTGGAGGCAAACCCTGTAAGCTGGAGAACAGATCCACTGCCTGGCAGGCCCCAAGCAGGGCACCTACCACTGGTGCTTCCCAGCCCCAACGTGGACCAGGACCAGGAGACTTGGCTTGGAAGGGTCTGGCATCCAAGCTGGGCAGGAGGAGCGGCGCTGTGCTGTGGGTCTGTTGGCGGTGTGCAGATTGTACTGCTGTCAAGGGAGGTGTTATTGGGAAATGGGGCTGTACACGGTTCAGAGGGCACTCGAGGGCAGCAGGCAGGAGGCACTGGAAGAACTGAGTCTGTACGCACCAGCCTCATCTGGTGCTCACCACAGCTCCTTTTAAGTCTCCCCTTGCCCCTCTAGCTCAGTGCAGGACACATGCAGGACCTCAGACTTCCCTCAGAGACCAGACTCCCACGCCTTGATCTCCATGCACTGAAGGCACAAGCAGAGCCGGGTCCGTGGGTGCTGTCAGGAGATGAGTTTTCATCATAGCTAAATTCAGGTACAGCTTTGCTGAGGAGAGCAAGAGGAGCTCAGTCCCTGTTCTCTGCTCCCCGTCTTTAATCCACGCTCCTGCTCCTCACCCCCAGGCTGGAGCTTCCCAAACTCTCATTACACGTGCTTACACGCCTAGGGAAAAGAGACAACACAGAACATCGGGGGGCTCATTAAATACTGGGGGTAAGAAAGCCGTGGAACAATGTTTCACAGCTGATGCTGCTTTGGTGTTTCTAAGAAGACAGAACAAAACCTCACGCGACTCTGCAGGGCGTCAGTGTGACCTGGAGACCCTGTTCTAAGTGAGCAGGTTTCTTGTGACTGCTGCAGGATCTGGATGAGCGTGTGTAAGTGTGCACATCCCGCACGTCCCCCTCACAGCCAGGCACCAAGACCAGGCAGCTGCTAGAGACTAATGAATAAATCCGAAAGAAGTGGATAAATGGAGAGCTACAGATGGGGTGAAAAGGGTACATGTGGAGGATTAATGCTACCAGCTGCTAAGGGGGAAAATGACTGCTACTGCTGAACCCAGGACAACAAGGAACCCAAAGTGGAAACAGTCTTTATCAAGAGCTGAGATGGAGAGTCAAGCAGTGATACAGAGCCGAGGTGATACAGAGCCGAGGTGATACAGAGCCGAGGTGATACAGAGCCGAGGTGATACAGAGCCGAGGTGATACAGAGCCGAGGTGATACAGAGCCGAGGTGATACAGAGCCGAGGTGGTACAGAGCCGAGGTGGTACAGAGCCGAGGTGGTACAGAGCCGAGGTGGTACAGAGCCGAGGCGATGCAGAACAGTTAGACTCAATTTATCTTTCCATTACGAACAGGAACATAGAATTCACTTGCTAAAAAGAATGTTTCACCAGTCAAACTTTCCGTGGTGCTTTGAGGGTTTGGCCGAGATGAGGAAGGGACCATCCTGCTGCCGTCATTCCCTGCTCCAAACACCATGCCTTGTCACCTGGAATTAGCAATGGGCTGAGGTCAGGACCTGGGCTGGAGGCTGGATCCCTTTCTGCCAGAGCAGGCTCAGCACCCGCTCCTGGATTGGCCCCTGGCCCTCATCCTGTAGATGAGAGGGTTGATCATGGGAGGTGCTATCAGGTAGAGGTCAGCTGCCAGGATGTGGAGGTGCTCAGGGATGCTCTGGCCCCAGCGCTGAGTGTAGAAGAAGAGCCCGGGCAGGTAGAAGAGCAGGATGACTCCAGTGTAGGAGCCACAGGTGCCAAAGGACTTGAGACGAGCCTCCATGGAGGACAGGCCTGTGACCACCCTCGGGATCAGCACGTAGGAGACAGTGATGAGGATGGAGTCTCAGCTGTGATCCCATAGGTGCTGCTGGGCCGGATGTCCCCAGAGACCAGCTTCACCACCAAGATGTGCTTGCAGCAGGAGTGGGGAATGATGCGGGGGGCACGGTAAGACAGGGTGGTCACCGTGCATGTCAGGGGGGTGAGGACCAAGGCGCCACACACGCAATGGTGGGGCCAATCAGGATGGCAGAGTAGTGCAGGGGCTTGCAGATGGCTGGGTATCGGTCCAAGGCCGTGGCAAGCAGGACCCCTGACTCTGCCATGGAGAAGCTGTGGATGAAGAACGTCTGGGCCATGCAGCCCTTCAAGTTGATGTCATGGGAACGGGACCAGAAGATGCTCAGGAGCTTGGGCATGGTGGACGTGATGAGCACGAAGTCAATGGCAGCC